ATTAAGAAAATGGTTTTCATGTGCATGGCATCCTACAGCCTTTGAACCGCTGGATTTCTTTTTTTTTTTTTTTTTTTTTTCTGGGTTAACCAAAAGGGGCTTCCCACTTGCGAGTGTGAGGAGGTGGGCAGGGGTGTTGACAATAGCCATCGCGTGGAGAGTGCTGCCTATCCCGCGGGCGAGGTGTTTACACATGTGCCGCCGCCTCCACCCTCCCTGCACGGCAGGTGGAGCGGAAATCAGAGTGGAAATCAGAGCGGATTTGAAGGGCTCAGGGGCCTTGGATTAGCTGAAGAGCACGGTGTGAAAAGGCCCATAGTTTAGGCTTTAGTGTGCCTGGGTCAGACAGAGGGGCCCCTTCCTCACTGCGCTGGGTCACCGAAGCCAGGGAGCCGGGTGAGGTGTCAATGGAGACTATTTGGGGTGCATTCGTCAGGCAGCCTGAGATGAAACCAAATGTGTTGTCTTTTCCTCACTGCGGAGCTGTTTCCTGTTAATACCGAGTCCCCACCCATGTTACCTTTCTTTTGGTTTCTCAGTCTTTGCAAACCTGCCAAGTCATTTTCTCCTGGGATAAGGTGGTCCAGTCCCAGGCAGCTGCCTTACCTGACTCCTGGAACAGCTGTGCTTCTCTGAGGTCATTCCCGACTCATCTGCCCCCTGCGCAACTAGCTTTCATTAACTTCCTTGACAAGAGGCCCCACCAGTGTAGCTTCAAACAAGCCAGCAGGCAACGGACAAGCAGATTTTCTGAAAATCTGACATACAGGGGCGCAATCAAAAGAGTAGGTGGGTGTCATAAAGAGCTGCTAGAAATTTGGGGCTCTTTACTTTTTTAACTTTTAATCAGACAATAAATATCTAAATCTCCATTAAAAAAATTATTGGAATATTCTGGATAACACCAAAGTTCACTAAGCATCACTTGTAATTCCTGCACCCGCCTTCCTCTTTGCCTTTAGAAGTAACTACTGTTCTAGGTGGGGGTGGTAACACATGCTTGTACTCCCAGCACTCGGGAGGCTGAGGCAGGAGGATCATTGCAAGTTCAAGACCAGCCTGGGCTACAAAGTGAGCTCAAGGCCAGCTGGACTGCATAGCGAGACCCTGTTTCAAAAAGACCAAAAAAAAGAAATAACTACTGTTCTGACTCTGGGAATGTCCTTTCAGATATTAGTAAATATGTAAATGCCCACAAGCAATTCATAGTAATGCTTTATGAATTACTAATAAATGCTAATAACATGCAGTATATAATACATAATGAGGATTTTTTTCCTTCTACAATATATTTTTTGATGAGTTCAGGTTAACCCATGGAGACCTCATTCATTTCTTCCCACTAAAATGTAGTTTTCCATCCAATAGACTTCATTTTATTTTTCTATTCTCCTTTGGCTGGACAACTAAGTTATTTCCAATCTTTTGCAATTTACTAACAATTCTGTGAGGAACATCTTTTGGCATGTCCCCTGGATCACGTGTGTTGGTTTCTACCTGAACATGTTACCTATTTTTAATTTTTTAATCAAAGAAATGTATGCACATAGCTTTAAATTCATCAGATTCTACAAAGGAAAGTATATGAAAAACAACAGTCTCCAAGGACCTGCCACCCTTCCTTTCCGCCCAGCAGCAACAACTTTCAACTTGTTCTGAAGTGGGCATGGTGGTGGATGCCTATAATCCCAGCACTCCGGAGGCTGAAATAGGAGGATCACTGCAAGTCGAGGCCAGCCTGGGCTACACAGTGAGTTGAAGGTCAGCCTGAACAACATAGCGAGACCCTGTCTCAAAAAACAAAATAAGCTGGGTGCGGTGGCACACACTTATTAATCCCAGCACTTAGGAGGCTGAGGCAGGAGAATCACTGCGAGTTTCAGACCAGCCTGGGCTACAAAGTGAAGTCAAGGCTATCCTGAACCGCACAGGGAGACCCTGTCTCAAAAACACACAAAAAAAATTTGTGCTGATGTTTTTAGTACTTACTTCCAAGTTCTAAGTAGCATGCTTATGTTGGTGCGGTTTAATATTTTTATTCTGTTTTAGGCACGTTCTCTGGCACTACAAAATACAGGATGAGACTTGAGTTCTCTCTTCTCACTCTTACATCCCCCCCTTACACACACACACACACACACACACACACACGCACACACACATAAAAACTTTCCCTTCACATCCTTCTAATCTGTCTGAACCCACCATAACCTCAACTTTCTGCAGATACAAGGTTTACCTTCTTGTAACTATAGAAATACTTTCCCCAGAGAAGTCATTTCTAGCACGGTGATTATGCTGGCCTGGGAGGTGACATTTTTCTGGATAAATCCTTGCAGCGTGGATCTGGGTGGCAGCTCTCCCTGCTTCTGGTCCCAAACAGTGAGACTGGCCACCAGGGACAGATGCAAAATAGCCGCGTCAAGAAGAGGTGTGCGGTGACATGGAAGTGAGATGGTTTGGAGACGAGTGGAAACATCCCGACTTCCCACAGGTCACTGATTCCCTCCCGGGCTCTGACAAATTTGCTTCCCTCATCTGCTCTTGGTGTTTGCCCAAGTTCCCTGCATGCCAACCCCCAGCCAGGACCCAGAGAGCTCGGCCTGGGTCCTCAGAGCCCTAAGGAAATGTTCGTCCACGGGCTCTGTCCCTGGATCTGATTCTGCAGTGGTTATGTGTGACAATCAGACCAGCAGCTACTTTGTTGTTTTTAGACAGTCAAGAAGGGTTTGTGTTGCTGACTGTCTTTATGATACAAGTAATACAGCCTCCTGGTGAAAAATTCAAACAGGAAAAGAAGGGTGGGGAGTGAGGGTACAAGGCCGTCCTCCGTCCTCTTCCAACCCCAGGCTCTCCATGTCCTGCTCTGCAGCCAGGCTACCTGGGTTCCAGTCCCAGCACTCACTAGCTGGGATGGTCTTGAGGACATTACCCAACCTTTGTGCCCCTCAGTTTCCTCATCTATAAAATGGGAAAATAACAGTGTTCACTTCATAGAGCTTTGTGGGGATTAAAGTAATATTTACAAAGTAGTACAGAAAAAGCACTTAATTGATGTGAGCCAGGAATGTGACTAACCTTGTGTTATGTACCTTTTTAGACTAATAGTTCTTCACCGTGAGAGCATGTCCAGTCACCTGGGGAATCTCTCTCTGTCTCTGTCTCTCTGTCTCTCTGTCTCTCTGTCTCTCTGTCTCTCTCTGTCTCTCCCCCCCACACCCCCAAGAATTGAATCCAGGGCCTTCATACTTAACTACATCCTCAGCCCCTTTGTTTATTTTTTTCTTTTCAGACAGGGTCTCACTAAGTTGCCCAGACTGGGCTCAAAATTGCAATCCTCCTGCCTCAGCCTCCCAAAGTGCTTGGACTACAGGTGTGTGCTCCTACACCCAGCTCACCTGAGGAGCTATACATTTCTTGGTACCTGGACCCCACCCTCAGCAATTCTGATTCTATTGATCTGGAATGCAGCCTGGACATCTGAGTTTTTTAATACTCACCAGAGCATTACAATGTGCAGCCAGGGCTAAACTCTACTGTGTTACATATTTCTCCTGGGTATCAGTTAGGATAAGTGAGTGTATGTCCCAGTAACAAACATCCCCAAAGCTTTGTGCTTCTCAGTCAGTGTCATGTATGGTATAAGTCCATTAATGTCAGTTGCTGTCCTGATCCACATCACCTTCACTTTGGAACCTAGGCTAATGGATGCTTTTATCCAGAGCATATGTGGTCCTGCGCTGTGGGGAAATAGACACTGGGGACCATGTGCCGGCTCAGAAGCTCCGGATCAGAGGTGAAAGTCACTTCTGCCACATGTCACTGGCCAAAGCCCAATGCACAGTCACACCCGGCTCCACAGGGAGGCTGCAGCAGAAACCAGCAGACCTTTTCTGCAAAGGGCCAGGTAGCAAATATTCTAAGTGTTTGTGTGTCAAACAGTCTGTTGCGAGTACTCCCTGCTGCCTTCGCAGTACAAAAATATCCTGTTAAAAAAAAAAATGTACAAACCAGGTGGGGTGCAGCACCCCGTGCCTGTAATTCCAGCTGCTTGGGAGGCTGAGGCAGGAAGATTGTGAAGTTCAAGGCCAGCCTGGGCAACTTAGCAAGCCTGTGTCAAAATTAAAAATTAAAAAGACTTGGGGTGTGTAGCACAGTGCCCCTTGGGTTCAATCCCTAGTACTTAAAATATACAATAAAATAAAGTAAAAGCCCTGCTTAATTCATGAGCCAGATAAAAACAGTGAGGAGCCCAGATTTGACCTGGGAGCCATTGTTTGCCGTCCCTAGTAGGTATGGCATCATCCTCCCTGGGGAGAGGCGCCGCAAGGAGGGACCCGGAGTATGGGTGAACAGCGATCATGCGCGTGGGAGAGACAGGGGGACGATGTGTGCACCATGTGCTTCACACTCTCGTGACGTCTTTTGTCCTCTTGCGCCCACTTCACCGTGCGCGTTTCGCAGCAGCGGCCCTGGCCTGGCATCCTTTCCTAAGCCCCGCCCAGTGTCCCCCGGATGTTCCGCCGCGGTCTGTGTGCCCGGGTGTGTTTCAAGAGCGATCCTCTGCTCCACAGCTGCGGATCACAGCAGCGCCCGTGGAGAGGTGCGCGGCAAGACAGAACCCACGTGCGGGCTCTCCACGTGTGCGCAGTTTATACCGCTCTCCTGGTGTGTTCTTGGCCTCCCTCGAAACCAAACAAATGTAGAGGGGAGCCCTGGAAACCCACACTTTCCAAAAGCTCCACCCCGACTGCAGCCATTCCTGTACCTGTCTGTGCCGCGTTGAACATAGTCGTAATTTGGGTGCTTGTGGGGAGATTTAAACGGAGAAGAGGGTAAAGGGATGGTGCAGGACCGGGAGCGCGCCCTGGAAGCTGTGCCCTCATCCCCGGAGCCCACGTGGGGCGGCGCTGGAGGCCGCCAGAGCTTCACAGACAGCGGGGGAGGCTGCGGTCACAGAGGCCACAGCTGCATGGGACTGTCCCCCTCTCTTCCCACAGGACACCACGACGTCTGTGCGCATTGGCCTGATGATGGAGGAGATGATCTTCAACCTGGCGGACACACACCTGTTCTTCAACGACCTGGAGGTGCGTAGCTGCTACTTCCCTTGAGCCTGTGCTCGCCTCTGTCTAGTTTGGGGGAAGCTGCTCTTCCTTTCTTTCCTTCTCCTCCCTGCCTTCCTTTTTTTTTTCCTTCTTTTCTTTCGTTTCTTTTCCTTCCCTTAGAGAGACTCGTAGCTTTTGCTAGCAACCCCCAAGAAGGTAGAGAGCTGGCCGGCAGTGGTTTATTGGAAACACACGTGGCCGGATTATCTCCCTGGCTTTGCCGTGCAGCTAATGGGCTTTTCTCCCTACTCCAGTGAGGCCCACTGGCAGTTTTGCTAATCCAATAAAGGCTATATAGTTTCTTCCTCCTGAAATTTGCTATTTAATAAGTTTATTAAGGCAAATTAGTACGCATCCTCCTGGGTCAGCAGTAATTAGCAGTGGGCCAGGATGGAAGCTTTTAAAAACAATTTACATTCCCCCTGAAAGCATGTTCTACAAAGACAGGCAGAGGGAGTAGAGGGCATGTGCTTGTTTAGTGCATCTGCTCCTGAGCTCCTAAGCAAGATGCAAAGGAGGTAAGGAAAGAGGGGAGAGCAGCTTTGGAAGTCAGTGGAATTCATTTGTTTATATCCACCCTATATTGGAAAGCTTTGGGAAGGATTTCAAATGAAAAACATATTTAAAATAGAACTGTTAAAGCAAAGGCAAAGGGATTAAAAGCTCTGTGGTGAATAAGGATAAAGACTTTTACTCTCCCCCCAAAATCAAGGTCAGGATAATAATTGCAGTCAAGTTTAGAGTTAATTTGTGAGCTTCCTGGTAGCCAAAGCAAGGAGGGAAATATGACTGACTTCCCTCTAATGAAAGAACAAGCAGCTTTCTTCAAGGTAAAGAGTTCTGGGCTACTAAGAGGATCTATGCAGGTCTTTTCTGGCTTTGTAAATTACCCTCATGTCATTGGCTCGACAGACTGAGAGAATAAAGGCAACCTAAAATAAAACTGAATGTGAAAGAATGATTCTATTTATCCTAGTAGAAATAATCTTTTTTCTGGAATCTGAACAGTCCCTGGGGACTAAACTGTGAAATTGAAACACAAAGGCTGCAGATTGCAAATCTGTGCTGACTGGCCCAGAGCATTAGTAACCTTTATCATCTGGAGAGGTCTTGCTTTCCAGGCTGCAAGCCAGAGTGGGGATCCTTGTGGAAATGAGCATTCCTGTGTCCTGTACCCTCCATGCAGGCCACCAGGGTCCCATATCACGGAGCTGATGTTCTCCACCCAATATCTATTTCAAAGAAAGAGTCTGTGTAGAAACTTGTTGGGGAAGAAAAGCACTTTGGAGTAGTGGAGACCCCCATGGGCAGCAATGCCTAGGACTCTGTAGCCAAAGCAAGGTGCAGGCGCACTTGGCTGTGACCCCTCTTGGCTTAGGGAAAAGAGAGACAAACAGACAAACAGACTCCGGGTCCCTCCAGGCAGTCACAGCTCTTAGGAAGACAGAGAGAGAGAAAGAGTTTGAAAAACAGGCCATTAAATTTAGCAAGTATTTCTGGAGCCTAATGTAGTAAATACTAGGCTGATTGCCACTATCAAAACCCAGCTTGAGGCCGGGTGTGGTGGCACACGCCTATAATCCCAGCTCTGGGGAGGCTGAGGCAGGAGGATCATTGAGAGTTTGAGACCAGCCTGGGCTACAATGTGAGCTCAAGTTCAGCCTGAACTGCATAGCGAGACCCTGTCTCAAATAGACATGACAAAAAAAAAAAAAAACAGCTTGCTGGAACAAAACCATGGAACTTATTGGCCCTTGTTGCCAGAGCACCCAGGGTGGATCTCGCTTTGCCCTGTTTCCCCCAGTGTCTGCCCCGTGAGAGCAGGGCCCACGGTCTGATGCATCGTGAATCCCCAAGGCCCAGGCAGGAAACACCCGGTCAGATCGTGCGTGAGATCGTTTGTGATCGTGCGAAGGGTGTGGAAACACAAACCAATCAGGTGCGAAAGCCAGTGATACGGAGGACCTGGGCGGCACTCTCGCAGGTGTTGGGCAGGGAAGGCCATTTGAAGAGGTGACATTTGAGCTGAGGGATGACGAGGAGCCACAAGAGCAGGTGCTGAGAAGAGCGGGGTGCGGTCAGCGGGGTCCCCGAGGAGGCCGTGACCACTGTGGTACACGGCGACCCCACAGGGACTGGGGGGCAGACGAATCTGGAGGGCGGCACTGCGGCAACCAGAGCTGACTCTGAGGTGTGCGGCCATGGGGCTGGAGGACGCTAAGCAAGAAGGGCCACGGACGTGGCTTGTGTGTTGAAAAGACCACCCTGGACACGAGTGGGAGCAGGAGGGGAGAGGAGGAAGCAGAGAGACCAGCAGGAGGTTCCCGCAGAGAGGAGCGGCTCAGACCCCAGCATAAGAAGCTGTGGGGCCTGGGGAGAGGACACCGGGGCTCAGTTTCACCAGAGGGTGGCAGCCTTTACCCCAACACTGAAGCAAGGACACAGGGACACGGAGGGGGAAACCGTGTGGGATGGTCCTTCTGTCTCAGGCACGTGGACTTTGAAGTATCTGAGAACTCCCCGCAGAGAAGACCCCAAAGGGACAGGCAGATCTATGCAGGCAAAACCCCGCACACATTGCTGGGGTTCCCAGCCAAGTATCTGTGGGACCTGCCTGGGCTTCAGGCTCCTGAACCCCCAACCTCCCCCCCGACCCCCAACCCTGCTGGTTCTTGATGTCCCCTAAGTCCCAGGCGGTCACAGCTCTTGGAGAAGGGTCTTCATCACCAGCTGGAGCTACTCAGGGAAGCCAGCTTGGTTTTATTCTCTCAATTGTTTTCAAAAATGTTCCCAGTGCCGGGAGCCACAGGGTACCCCAGCAGAATTGAAACCATGTTTCACGAGGGAGAAATTAAAATTCGCACAAGGGAAAACATGTTGTTTGCTGGTGTGAGGCAGCCCCTGTCAAGATCTAAGGGACAACAAAAGCTGAGGAGGGGCGAGCGGCCTGCAGGAGGCCGGCTTGAGGCCTGGTACCAACACCAAGCGTTGGCTTCAGGAAATAAAGTCAGATGCATTCCTCACTGAGCCATCTGCAAGCAAGCAGCTCCTTCCTGCATCTGGCAGGTCCTCGTGGAGAACTTGCTCTCTGTGAGGCCCGTGTCTAAGTGCCGTGGATTCAGCCACACCCAAGACCCAGCAACACCCACATCCTCGAGGTGGTGGCCTGCCAGCTGAGGGAGAGCTGTTACCATCTGACGTGGTGGTCTCCGGCCAAGTAAAGGGTTATGAAGAGAGACCTAGAGCAGAAAGGACGGGCTGTCACAGGAGCTGTTCACTTGGTCCATGCAAGTAAGGTCTCTCTGACATTTGAGCATAAACTTGAGGTGAGGGAGGGCCGAGGAGGAAGAGTGCTCAAACGGCAGAAACGGCAGTGCAAAGGTCCTAAGGCGTGGCCGAGGTTGGGGCCTTCCGGTGCAGCTGGAGTGGAAGGAGCAGGAAAGATCATGGTGGGCAATAGAGACGTGGCTTCAGACCATATGCAAGGCTTTGAGCCACATTCAGAGGGTGACACAAAGCTGCTGGGGACTGTTGAAAGCTATGACCGCCTGGCAGAGAACAGACTGAAGCGGGCAAGCGTGGAGGCCAGTGTCTGCCTTAGGTCAGCCGTCCCGGACTCCCAGCTGAGACCACTCACAGAAAGAGCCCTGAGGGGAAGGCTGACGGCACGAGGCAGATGCAAGTTCAGTCACATCTCAGGATGCCAGCCGGTGCCTTTCTGCTTTTGTGTCTCTAGGAGCCAGAAACAAAAAGTAACGCGGTTAAACCAGGGTGTCTAGGTAACACCAGGTTGCCAGCATAATCAGAATAGGTTTCAATGAGTATTTGTCACCAAGCTTACTGCCCCCAAACTTGCAAAGACAAGAATACTAGAAAAAAAATGACTAAAAAAGCATTAAACTGTTATAGATGCCCCCACCCCCCCAAAAAAAACCCCACCATGTCACACAGATTTGAAACAGAAGTTCCAGCAAGGCATCACGGGAGGGATCATTCCCACTCGTCACAAACTGCAAAGCAAAAGAAAAGGCGGGGTGCTCTCTATGTGTCTTGAGACTAGTGACTAAAACTGGCTTTGAGCATGTGACAAATGAATAAATTACTGCCGTTGCCCGTGAAAGGTAGGATGTTCCCACCATCCCGGCAGATACTCTTATCCACTCTGTGACTGTGAGTGTGTGTGTGTGTGTGTGTGTGTGTGTGTGTGTGTGTGGTTCTGCAGTTGAACACAGAGTTGACACATGCTAGGTAAGGACTCTACCACTGAGCTACATCCCCAGCCCTTTTTGTTTTTTGAGACATGGTCTTGCTGATTTGCTCAGGCTGGCTTTGAATGTGCGATCCTCCTGCCTCAGCCTCCTGAGTTGTTGGGATTACAGGTGTGCATCCAACACTCTGTGACTCTTTACAGAAGTTCCCCCATGGATCTGCCTGAGCTTCAGTCTCCCCGCTAGTGGAAGGAGCCCCCTGGACTACAATTATGACCACTTACTGAGTGCTGTCGATAGCCTCAGAGCACCTGCAAGCAGATATATTAGCCACGTTTCATAAGTTTTTAAAAAAAAATGACAACCTTACTCTCCCTCTGAGAAGAACCAGAAGCAGTGACAGCCCCATAGCATTGAGTCAGCCCAGTGCCTAGACGTTGGTTCTTAATCCCATTCTCTAATAAAGCAACCCAAGATCCTTATAGAAGTGGCTGATTCCCCAGCATGGGAAAAGAAGATAGAGATAGGTCGGGAGCGTGTCCTGCTGTCAGAAAACAAGGAAATGCATGAAACCCCACAGAGGTGGGCTGTGTAAAAGGCACACAGAGTGCAACGGCCAAAGCCCGAACAAATTTGCAATAAAATAAAAAACGCAGTATTGGATCCTCACCCAAAGTATACTAAGGTGGTATCCGTGAGCCCACACTGATATAGATAAAAGAATCCATAAAGAGATAGAGAATAGACAAGTCTCCCCCACAGAAAAACCCAAATAATCTATGTAGCGACTATACCATCAGTGTAAGCCGCATGTAACGACTTACATACGGACTTCCTCCGAAGAGATCGTGTGTTCGCTTTTAGGAGAGACAGGAGGGGTGCTTGGTTCCGTGACCCTTCCCACCAAAGCCTCGCCCGGCCAGCCAGCAGAGGAGCATCGCACAGCTCCCAGCTGAGAAGCCTGCCATAAGTGCTGGACTGTGACTCCTAGGAACTGTCACTGGCAACCAGGACCTCCCAGCCCAGCAGAGCCAAAGGAGACCTGATGACTCCCTGCAATGCAGCGTCTTGCGTGGGATCCTGGAACAGAAAATGGGCAAACTCTGGAAATCTGCACGAAGAATCGACCTTAGTACAACAAAAATGTTCTAACGTCAGCTGCTAGCAGCAGCGTGGAGCATATGGGAACGCTCTATAGTAGCCTTGCAAGTTTTCTGTAAATCTAAAACTATTCTAAAATCGAAAGTTTGTTTTTAAAAGCTGAAGACTCAAAGGTGCATTCAAAACTGGCAGGGCTGGGGCTGGAGTCCGGGCTGAGCCTCTGAACGCCGACTCCAGCACCTAGGAGGCAGGAACCTGAGTCCACCCCGCCCCTCTTCTCTGTGCCCCAAATTCCCTGGGCACATCACACAAAGCATCCAGACTGGCCAGTCCGGGCGGAGCAGTATCACCTTGTTAGCAGTGCCGATCCTCTCTGGGCCTCTCTTAGTGGTTGGCCCCCGTGGTTACTGAGTACATTGCAGAGCCAGGATTTGAACCCAGGTCCCAGGGTTTTAGTGCTTTAACCAGCCCTACGCTCCAGCCTCGCAAAACTCAATAGAAAATGGGCATTACCTTCAGAGCATCCCAGTTTAGAGGATGAAAGGAGAAAATAGTCAAATAGCCCCACTAAGTGAGGCAATGGAGACAGAAGTCATTCAGCCTGGTCTGAAGTAGGGCTGGGGAGTTTTTACAAAGAAAAACTGTCTCTGTCTCAACGCAGTCCTCCCATCGTAACGCAGCAGCAGCCACAGGCAGAGTGCAAACAAGCGAACGTGGCTTTGTTCCAATAAAACTTTATTCATACAGACAGGCCACAAGCCCCTGAGGGTGCTCCCACCCTGGTCTAGGTGGCAGGTGAGGTAGCTGAGACGTAAGAGAAACTGAGAAGTCAGGCAAGCAGCCTCAAGGGCTCAGGCCCTGGCTCCACTTGCCCTTGCCTTGGGCACCGTGCTGGGCTCCTAGGGCTGCTGTGACCAAGTACCCCACTTTGGGGCTGAACCTCAGAAATTCACGTCTCCATTCTGGACATCCGAAGCCCAACATCAAGGTTGGCCCCTTCTGAGGACTCCGCAGCAGGATCTGCTCCTTGCCTCTCCCCTCGCTGCTGGTGGTGCCAGAGGCCCATCGGCTTATGGAAGTGTCACCCCATCTCCGTCCTGCTCATCACATCGCTTCTCCCGCTTTGCACGTCTGTCTCTGTCCAGAGTTCCCCTTTTTGTAAGGGTGCCAGTCCTACCGGATGATCATCACCAAGATCCTGTTTCCCCATCAAGTCATGGTCACAGGTCCTGGCAGTTAAGACTTCAACAACTGTGGAGAGGGGGCTGGGGCCTTAGCTCAGTGGCACAGCACCTGCCTGGCAAGCGCACGGTCATGAGTTCGATTCCCAGTATTGGAAAAAAAAACAAAACTAAAACAAAAACAAAAAAAACTGTGGAGAGGGGCCCCGTTCGCCCCATGGCAGACATGTTCCTACACTGCAGTCTGCCTTGTGTTCTCCTCCACAGGATGGGATGACAGTAACTTCCCTTTTGATAGCTGCAAAGTACTGGGCTCAGTCCCTGGCACACTGGAAGCTC